AGTATTTTACTGATTACATCTTCTGGGTCTTTTTAAAAAAAAAAAAAAAAAAATATCCAAAGTCAAAGCTACAGCTTGTAATTTGTTGCTGATTTCTGAATGTATGTCACACTGATAAAAGAATACATGCAAAGCTATCTTACACCATTGCAAAAATCAACTCGGGAGTTAAATCTTTACAAACAACAAAAACATTCAAGTGCCTTAACTATTAACAAAAATGTATCTTATTTGTGTATTACTCGGCTGTAGATCCTCCAATCATCTCTGAATTGGTGCCGACACTGTCCTTCCTTCTGGAGGCTGGCTACTTTTGTTCCCCATGGTCCCTGTGTGTGTTGTAAAGTAGTCACTCCTCCAAGCTCGCTCTTGTGTTGGACTACAGTCTCGATACAAATTGGTAAACTAAATGTGAGATTGTAGTCCATCACGGTAGTGAGCTTGGACTGGTGGTTACTTTACAACACACACAGGGACCATGGGGAACAAAAGTAGCCACCCTCCAGAAGGAAGGACAGTGTCAGCACCAATTCAGAGATGTTTTGAGGATCTACAGCCGAGTGATACACAAATAAGTTACATTTCTGTTACTAGTTAGGGTACTTGAATGCATTTATAAGATTTAACTCCTGAGTTTAGTGTCACTTGAAAGTTACTGTTCTAGGCTTTAGGATGCTGGTGTGCTCTGATTTTTTTTGTTGATCTGCACTGTTTAGGTTCAGAAGCTGCAATGCATTAGCTGAGGCTGATTAATCACATTCCAAGTTTGGGTATATTGTCCAAAACACAACAGGAAGTATTCTTCTTCATAAAACACTGAAGGATAGTTTGCTAATATTGAAAATTCAATGTAACGTCTTGTTTTTATTTTAAGGCTAGGATGTTTAGAATTTGGGGTGATGCACAGCTATTGTTTGGTTCAGAACTTAGATTTCATAAACCTGTGAAGAGCTGTTTTTAATGACAACTTTCTATTTACTTTGAGTAATAGCCAATATATTTGTTCTACCAGATATGACCTCCTTCTGCTAGGCTGTGCAGATGTGCCTTACTTCTTCAGAATGTCCTAATATAACCTAGATTCTAAATATGACTTGTGACTCCGGAGGTGATGCAGTGCTTGGTACATAAACATTTCAGAAGTGTCAGAAAAGGACTTCCTCTAGAGCAGCTGTCATAGAAGGAAAATAAATGTTTGTCAGGAAACTCATAAAAACCTGCATTGCACAGTCTTTGTTTTTGCACGATCCTAAACTTATACATGAGCTCTGCGTGCTGCTGTGCTTCAGCCACCCACAGTACTTGGCCCTTGCCCAGTGTCTTTGCTTGGATTTGGTCATATTTTCCAGTGGTAGAGCCACTATTGTATTTAATGGCTGTTTTTATGTTTGGATGCCAGGTAGCCTCACACCCTATTTGCCATTTAAACACTTTTAATGAGTAGTAGGGAAAGAAATAGTCATCTTTTTATTATGTATTTTTTTGTACTTGTCTGCAAAGTCAAATTTCCAGAATTAGTGACTGACCAAGTTACAGGAGTTCTTTGGCACACCTCGGGGGCAGTAGTAGATGCACTGTATTTATCCCCTATATTGTAGATGGAGGAGATGGCAACTTAGACAGGCAAACAGACTCCTGCCTAGTTAGGGCTCTGGAGTCCGGTCAGGGAAAGAGAGGGTGGGTTTACTGGCCACAATTCCACACCAGGTTTCACCTGGCTGGGAAGCCACAGTTGGCATATTAAAGATGTGCTGCTGGAGGCAGTGCCTGTTTGTCCTTGTTGTCCGAGTGTGCTGAGAAGGAATACTGAAACCCTGACCTATTTGTCTTTCCATTTGAATCTAAGCCCTGGTGGAGGGCTGTCTATTATGCCCTGTATTAGGGACAAACTGACCCTGTGGAGTATCTCTAACACCAAACTAATATGTTCACCATTATTAAAAGTCTAGGGGGCATATTTATCATGCAGTGACTCTTTTGGTGCATGTGTTTTACATTACAGCGAATGATTAACCACCTGTGATCCTTCTGTAAATGTTACATCCACTGTCCAATAAAGAATATTATCAAAGTATAACAAAATGAAGAAACGCAGTAAAAGTAAAGGGCTGCCATGACTAGCCTAGAATGCATTGCCTTGTTTATTTTGTACGCTACAATTAACCAATCACTTTCTCTTGCCCTGCGTCCTCTACCGACCAAGACTGATTTGGCGGTCAGAGGTCTGTCTTGACAGAGCCAGTAAAAACAAGACCAGCTCCAACAACGCACAAGAAATAAAAACGATTTCTTGTAAGGCTTTTTTTTTTAAAGTTTTGTTTTTGTTGGGGAAATTGTTTGACCATTGCAAAAGACAACAAAACAATGGTGTTTTGGGACTGATATTTGACATTAAAGTCATGGCTAATTTTTTTCAATGTTTCCTTTGCAGAGCACATGTGCACAGTGGTATACTTTGATGACTGTATGTCGATCCACCAGTGCAAGAATTCCTGCACGTCTATGGGAGCATCGAAATACCGATGGTTTCACAACGCATGCTGTGAGTGTGTCGGGCCAGAGTGTATCGACTATGGAAGCAAATCCGTAAAGTGTATGAACTGCATGGTTTGAAGACGTGGTCTTCCTCCATCACAGTATTTCCTGCCCACTGTATAAAACTCCTTCCCTTCCATTGAGATGAGATCTACAATGAAGACAAAAACTCTGTCACCACTGTCTACCCGGACAGTTAAACCTTGAGGGACAACTACTACGTAGAGGAATGCATATGCAACATTGAGTAGATATTATTGGTTTTTTTATACTCTGTTTTTATGTAAAGATTTTAGATGCCCACTTCACATTCACATGATGTATTTTTATACGCTATGTCAAATAGAAATGTTTTTATTATATAGTTTATATCTATGTGTTTTTTTTTACTCATGTTTTTTGAGTTCATTTATTACTTGTCAGACCTCTGCCCCAAACTACTAGTTCTATTATGGGTAGAGCATGAAGGGCACAAGTGTTGCTAGAACTATAATTATTGATGTTTAGTGATTTTACATTGGGAACTTCTCCCCCTCTAGCTCCACATTTTTCAGTAATTTTGCTTACCTCGTGCAGTGTCTGTCTGGGAGGGGTCACTCACTCAACTTTCTTCTTCCCTTGCAGCATTTTACTTAATATGGGCGGTTTTCATGAAAGCTACACTTTTTACACCCTGCATTGTCTAGGCTGCTCATCAGCTGTCAAACCTTTGCCCCCTGTAGTTCTCGGCACTAGAGGGGGTTTCATGGCTTGGCGAGCCTCTGGCAGTGCCCATAGGCACTCTCCCATCCTCTGCACAAAGTCGCAAAGGAAATATAGTCCCAAGTATCGGCAATGTCAGTAGAGTGACTTACGAGCACCATTACTCTGCCATCACCAGATGTGGCCTTCTGAAGGGGGAAAACCAGCCAGAAGGTCACGTGACCTACAATTGTTAAAATTATTTTTCAGGTACAGACACTAAAATTGAATATTAGCTTTACTAGATTCTGGCAAAGTGAGGGTGGGTTATCCTGGCAATGCAGAACCATTCATCCTACAGTTCTGTTGTAAATTGTAATTCTGACTTCATTGGAGGGGGGGGGGGTCCACGGGCGTGGACCGTACAAAAACTAAAGGTTGCTATATAAAGTTAAGGCTTATACATTGCCTACCCACACCTACTCCACTCAAAATGAAACGAATGGACTGTAGGAGAGGCAATATCACATTATGTAATGTGTATAGTATATTAAGTATTTTATTGTATTTCTATCAAGCACTGTTGATGAATTGTACCTGTCCCCAAAGACCACATTTGCTGTAAGTCTATTTGTTCGCATCTTTTTCTTTTGCCATTCTCTCTCTCATTTTGGGAAACATTCCCATTTCTTGCACTTTCAGTTCTGTTGTAATGCTGCCATAAACCATCTATATTTTTGTTTGTTTTATTCTTTACTTTTGGACCCAAATGAAGTATATTTTATATTTAAAAAATGAATGGAAAATGTTTTCCACCTTTTTTATCTCCTGTTCTAAAGTCATTTCAGTGTATTACAGGCCATGCCACACCTTACTTGCTACATATCTGGCTTTAAAGCAAAACTAAACCCAGTGATTTAATGGTTTCACCATAGAGAGCTCAGGTTTTAAAAGTTCAATTAATCTTATTAAATCCCTAATCAAATCCCTAATCAAATATAGCAACATTGTTCTCTGCAGTGTTTTTTTATTTACATTCTGACTGCTAGTGCATGTGCAGTGTATACATTCAAGGTGACAACTGTCACAATTGCCAGTGTGCTTATGTCGGTTCTCAAGTGGCTAGTCATGTGTGCAGCACCGTGGCAACTGCAGATCTAAATAGAGGCTAAGATGGCGCCATTCTCAGAGGATTGGAGGATAAGAGGGTTTAGCTCTGCTTTAAGTTCCAAGCAGCATCAGTTTAGAATTCATGTGTGGGCACATTTATGATTACTGAACCCTCAAAACTTTCTCCTAACCACTAATTCAATTCCTTATTTCACCAAGTGATTTGTTGTCTGTGTTTCAGTAAGAGAAACAGGCATGCGTTTTCAGCCAATCTAACATTTTTTTAAAAGCCATTTCTACCACAACCACAGATAGTATGTGATGGAGTATGATAGTCAGGACACAATATCAATCTACGAAGTTGGATTTTTCCATCTGATTCTGTACAGATTCTATAGAGGCCTGTTTTAAAAATACAATCTGTTTGCAAACATCTGTAGTTTCCTAAATGAACTTTCCTAGTGTAGTGCATAAGGGAGATATGCAAGTTCAAATCTTGCTTGTAACACACTAAGCAGTGTAAAACAAATGATGGATTATGCATTATCCTGTATAACCCCTCCTTGTCTGCAGTATATATGCAAACATCCCTCAGCACTATGTCGTTCCAGGTGTTAAGTAGAGGGTAGCCACAATGGATTTGAAAGTGCCTCTCGCACACACTAGTACGTGCTCTCTGGTGCCTAATTCTTTGTGGCTTATGTTGGATTACTCCTGGTGCTTGCCACTTCATGGGAATGCACTGCCGTGCTGGTGCTTGTCACTGCATGGGGATGCACTGTCATGCTGGTGCTGGTCACTGCATGGGGATGCACTGTCATGCTGGTGCTTGTCACTGCATGGGGATGCACTGTCATGCTGGTGCTTGTCACTGCATGGGGATGCACTGTCATGCTGGTGCTTGTCACTGCATGGGGATTTCAACAGGTTCATCCTGAATCTGACTGAGGTTTCTCCATCACTCTCATCAGTCACACTGAGAATGTGTTATTCCAGGTTCTCTGTACAATTTAAAAGTAACGGGAAACTCTGGCTGTCCCCATAGAAAGATTAGGGACACTCAGTGTTCTCTCATTAACATAAAATGCTTCTAGCTCTTAAACATGCTGTTTAGTACAGTGTTCAGATCTAATATACAACTGATAATGAGATCTGCCAGCACCAGACAGTCCAGGCAGGGTTAGTTATTGTAAACATAACTTCCCACCCTCCTTGTATTCCAAAGGAACATTCAGTGTAGAGGAAAACCTTTTTTCCCCCCAAGAAAAGAAGTAATAATGAATGCAGCTATTTTTATTTTGTTTGTCATGCTTTGTGAATGAGAGCATGTAACAAATATAAAATAGGTGTTATTCCAGTTTGGCTGCAAAAGTGGAAATACATTTTGTCCGTAACCATGTGGGGTTAAAGGCTTCATTTAGGAAATAACGATTTCAGCTTGCAAAGACCACTGCAGCTTGTCGATGGCATTGTGCCATTGTTTAATACTGTAATTGTCCTTTATAAAATGTAAACCTTTTGTTAAAAATATTTTATATTTTTTTACATTCTTGTCCACTTTTCAACCTATAAAAAAACAGACCAGGGTTTTTGTTAAAACAGTTTTTACCAAATGATATCCTTCTACATCTTACAAAAAAATGTCAAAGTATTTAGGTGGACATATTAGTCATGGGGATATAGTCACGTTATGACCAAGTTGTGATCTTTAGCAAAGGATTCCAGATGGAAAATACTACTAATATTGTTTATAGACAACAAGAGTAAACTGTCCTCAAACAAACAAAAAATTAAACTGCAAATTAAAGAAGGCCAACAAGTTCCTTCTTCATGAGCTAATCTGCTCCTGAGCAGAAATAGTTTGTTCTTTTTAGACCAGATAAATAAACTTTGTTTTGAGTTCCAGCCTTCATTGCCAATTGAAAGTCTATTTACATAAACTGTATCAAAGTTAGTTGGTTAGAAAACTATAGCAAATGTGAGTTTACATAATGTAAATTCTCTTCTGCTCCTCAGGATCTTTTGTAAATAGCATGTAAAGAGGTCAGCATTAAGTTCACTGGTTGGTAGAAAAAAGATGTAGTTTTGTACTAATCTGTTCCAGGAGCTTACTTGTATATGTTGTAATAGCCTCAAAAGATCCTTCAAGGCCGTATCCAGTTTTGGAGGCAACTAGCCTTACACTCTTTAGCCTTGAGTTCGACTTTAGGTTTGTATTCAGAAAACACTTTAATCTTATCATCCCCTTCAATCACTTTTTTCTGCTCAGGCAACGCACCTCATTAAAACTCAGTACTCTGAGGAGTTCTTCTGAAATCTCTCCTCCTCCACAGCCTCCAACTACCAATCTGGCACTAGCTTTAATGCCAGCACTAGTTATGGTTGAAGTCAAGGATTTAAACAAAAATGCCATTGTACCTTTGCAGTGAGACCCACACAAGAAGTAACTGTTCCTTAGGTCTAGTTGTAGAGGAATAAACTGAGATACTTACCTTATTCCTCACTCATCGTGCAGCTGGTGCTCTCCACACCGATGTTCCACCACACTGATGCATTTACATAGGTACAACAAAAGAATACATGACAACTGACATTTCAGCAAGGTATCACAACATACCTTAGACAAGTAATTGGTGATATTACAGACAGAGCAAGTTACAGAGCAGAAGCTGGAGACTTCCAGTGATATTGTGAGGTATTCTTTGATTTTTGCTGTAGTATATTAAAGTAGGGATATACCGATACTAGTATTTGGTGCGGATGGCGAGTATTTGGGTGAGTACTAGTACTCGCCCAAATGCACCGATGCCTAGCCCGATACTTCCGGTATCAGTAAGCTGGGCAGCGAGTCATTACACTCTGCCCGGCTCCCTGATCACTGGTGACAAGGGAGCATGGAGCCGGCTTCCCTGCCAATCAGGAAGTTGGGCAGCCCGGCTTTCTGATTGTCTGGGAAGCCGGCTTCATGCTCCCTCGTCACTTCATGAAAAGGGAGCATGGGGCCGGCTTCCCGGCCAATCAGGAAGCTGGGCGCCGCGTCATTACACGGCGCCCCGCTTCCTGATTGGCCAGAAAGCCAGCTCTGTGCGTACTAGTCACCTAGTGATGAGACGCATGGGGACGGCTTCCCTGCTAATTCGGGAAGCCAGATGGCGAGACTTAACACGCCGCCCGGCTAATCAGGAAGCCAGAGGGCAAGTCATTACACGCTGCCTGGCTTCCTTAATGGGACTTTCGCTATCGATGAGTACCCAAAAAAAAAATATCGCTACTCGATACCGAAATACGGGTATTGATGCATCCCTAGAATAAAGAAAACTCAATTTAAGGAAAACTGATAAAGCAAACGGAGGAAGGGAGAGGGAGGTACCACGGCTCCTGCCTCCAGGGCTCAGGACTCCGGAGGGTCATCGCAGCTCGTGATGGGTAAGGCCAGGGACCTGGACCCCGCCCACTGACTCCGAACCGGCAAATAAAAACTGTGTATTAAACATTACAGAGGAGGAATCACTTGAGTAATACTTAGATATGTAAATACAGGATATGAAAAGGGAAGGGCCCTAGACCAACCCAGAGGACTCCTGTGTACAAGAGGCATATATAGGTACATTTTGTATGGAAACATGTAGTGTGGTCTCATACCCAATCCACCCCCCATAAATTTGGGGGGAGGAGGGGGGTTCTCATTACCGGAAGGACCAG